TTTATGATTGCACTGTTATACATGGAAGACTGTAATTGCTCTATTATTGGTGCATATTATAAACTCCAATGATCTATGGTTGCACTGTTATACATGGATTACAGTAATTACTCTACTAGTGGTGCACATTATAAACCCGAATGATTTATGATTGCACTGTTATACATGGAAGACTGTAATTGCTCTATTATTGGTGCATATTATAAACCCCAATGATCTATGGTTGCACTGTTATACATGGATTACAGTAATTACTCTATTAGTGGTGCACATTATAAACCTCAATGATCTATGATTGCACTGTTATACATGGATTACTGTAATTGCTCTATTAGTGGTGCACATTATATTCCTCAATGATCTATGATTGCACTGTTATACATGGATTACAGTAATTACTCTTTTAGTGGTGCACATTATAAATCCCAATGATCTATGATTGCACTGTTATACATGGATTACTGTAATTGCTCTATTAGTGGTACATATTATAAATCCAAATGATCTATGTTTGCACTGTTATACATTGATTACCATAATTCGTCTATTAGTGGTACACATTATAAATTCCAATGATCTATGTTTGCACTGTTATACATTGATTCCCATAATTGGTCTATTAGTGGTACACATTATAAATCCCAATGATCTATGTTTGCACTGTTATACATGGATTACAGTAACTACTCTATTATTGGTGCATATTATAAAACCCAATGATCTATGATTGCACTGTTATACATGGATTACAGTAATTACTCTATTAGTGGTGCATATTATAAACCCCAATGATCTATGGTTGCACTGTTATACATGGATTACTGTAATTGCTCTATTAGTGGTGCATATTATAAACCACAATGATCTATGATTGCACTTATATATATATATGGGTTACCATAATAATAATTGCTCTATTAGTGGTGCACATTAAAAACCCCACTGATCTATGGTTGCACTGTTATGCATGGATTACCGTAATTGGTCTATTAGTGGTGCATATTATTATTCAGCCTACACATACAAGACATGCAATTTATCATTTTGATGCACCTCTTTTGGAGATGCACTTCTAACAGAGCAAAAATGTTACTTTGCTGTGTTTATATGTTTATTTTAAAGCTACAATGTTTGCAAGTTTTTTGACTATCGTATTTGCTCTATTGGTAGCATAGATGTTTGTACAATAAAGGTGTGTTTCTGTTCTATGTGGAAATTAGGTTGTATATAATTCAGCATACTGGACATGTAATTAGCTTAGCTACCTTAGCTACAATGATCAATGACAGCACTGATATACATAGATTACCTGTATTATGTTTACCTTAACTAGCAATACTCTATCTTGAACCAAACACAATCTACAGATAAACAAATGCTGATTTTGAAAACATTGACATCTTCATTTCTACCTTGCTTGCAAATATATGATGTGGAAGTCAAGTTGTACTCACAGATATTTCCCAAGGTTTGATAATTAAACTTTTTCATTATTAATTTTGACTGACTGGCTGACATTTTTGTCTCAAAGAATAACATTTCAATATTTAATTTTTATTTGTTATTTAATTTTTAATTTAATTTTTATTTTTTTTATTTAGAAAGACCTATTAACTGTTTGTTCACGTGATTTTGCAGTTCATTGTTGTTTTCTTCCTGGCACCATTTTAAAGTCAATTTTCTATTGTTGTTCCCTTATTCTTTAAATCCCACCACCCTCCCCAAACACACCTCCTTATCTGTGTTGCCCTACTTGTATATGTGTAAGAGTTTTTTTGTTTTCAATTTGATTTGTTTTTTCTTCAGATTTCATTTACATGGTTCTCATACACCCACCTCAACTACAATGTATCTTGGGGGGTTATTCTGTAATTATCATTACATCATTCTGGGGACTTCGCCATAGTTTTATGGGGCTCATATCCATCCAAGATAGTATTTTTACTTTTATAGTTGTACTTTTTAACCATCAGTTTGCAGCCATGCTGCATCTATCATAACTACTAACTAACGCTGCCTATACCTCAAATTGCAGTAATGCTGCAATCTTTCATTACACTACAGCCCCAGCGGCTGAAGCTTCATTACTAACACAGATTTTTGAGTTGTGTATTATTTCAGAGTTCTTGTGTTCATGACATGTCCATCCTGGTGTATTTCTTGTAAGCCAATGGATTTCGTTGTGTGCACCCCTGTTTTGCCAAAGTACTACCGGGGCGATTTTTCAGCAGTTTTTAATTTTTTTTTTTTAAATATTTTTTAAATATTTTGGCGTAAAAGAAACATGATGGATACCCTATAGCATCGAGCATTTATATGCGACCGGAATCATTTGTTTACGATGAAACTAAGTTGCATTTTATTTGCATTTTATAACAATTAAACAAATTTATTTTTTGTGCGTTATTATAATCACTACTGAGTAATAATCAACAATTGTGAAACGCAGCATGACCGGATTGCGCAACTGTGATCGTTTGCTACTACGCAATGCAGTTGTGTTCGTTTTTATTTGAAACTTCGTTTACAATATACTTTCCTTACCAATAAAATAAAAAAAAATGTATTTGAAAAACACAGGGTGACATGTAATGAAATTTCAGGCGGCCTACTTTATTCAGCAAGAAAAAAAATGCATCAAATTTTAGATGTTTCTGCAATACTTTCTTACGTTCTGGCTGGCCCAATGAAATAGAAGTCCCCAAAAAATGTTTGATGATTATTTTTCGAAATTTTGAATCCCAAATAAGGGCGAATTTACAGCAGAATCCGGTATAAAATACAGATATATTTAAAATATCTGAATTGAACTTTTATGAATTAACGGATTTAAAACGGCTCAAATCACTAAAAATATTAATTTCTGAACCAGTCTGCAATAAATTATTGAGTGTTCATAAGCAGATTTCTTTCAAAGAAATTTGTATTGACATTTCTCATTATGGAATACTGGTAACTTTGTTTAAATTTGGTACAAAGACAACATACTCAAACTCAAATCAGTACATTTCTCAGGTATACTATACCTGAGCCGAGTTATTCAAAATTTATGAATCACAGATGTGTTACTGTTGCATGCTGGTTGCAGTTGCTTGCGTTTGTTATAATGCTGGGATGTTACTATGACGTTTCAAAATATGGTTTTCTTTTTGAAGTGTGTCTTCTTCTCTCAATACTAGACGCGTCTCATATTTAACGATACTTTAGATGAAATTTCTTCTAAGTTGTTAAAACATAGCCAGGATGAGAAGACTTTGGAAACTATTTTGGAGCAATGTTTATCGGTAAGAATATTTTAGGTTTCTATACCAGTAATGTCTTCTTTGAAAATGATTGGAGCTTTAATGACAGTTCATTTTTCTAAATTCCAATGATTGTCTAAATTCCATTGATTTTTGTGCTGGGGGGGGGGGGTTCACTGAATTCTAATTTTGCATCTACGTACATTAAATAATTCATTAGCACATGTAGATAGACTGTAGTGGCAATATAGAGGTTTATGTTTCACACAATGCATGTGAAATTTGAACAATAACAATGTAGTAAATCTGTAAATGTAATAAAATACTGCATGATGATGCAAGTAGTTCATCGCATTCATGTAACAATAGTAACCATTTATTTCTATTTGTTTCCTAGATTATACTTGAAGTTATTGAATGTCTCACTTATTGTATACAGCATACATGCCATAGTAGTAATGATGGTGTACATTTGCAATCTATTAATTCATTACCAAGTACAGTTATACATGTAGTTAAAGAATCCTATAATCATTGCAAGGTAGGTCAATGAAGCCCTGCATAGAAAGGCTGCCATTTTATCCTGTTAATGAGAAAGAGTGGTAACATCAGTTATTTGTTTCCTGTATCAGACTAGCAATTTAAAAATTTATTTCATGATGGAATAAAGAACACATTTTACTTGAGAGTTTTTGAGATACTTCACAAAATCTGCATATTTCAAAGGTTATAGGTTCAAATGCTATTTCCTGATTATTGCTAGCCAATATGTGTTTTATTACAGTAATAATACCACAACCTGATTCTGATACCCACTAAACATGACAATTATGTACCTTGCTTAGAATGTGAGAAATATTTATTTTATTTTTAATAAAAAACAATTTATTTTGAGCAGTGAATGTTCTACACACCAGTGGTCAGCAGACTTCAATTTATAATCATGGTCAATGTTAATGATTGTTGATTTCACATTAACATTTTTAACATATGTATATTTGTGAAAGTAGATTGAATCTATGAAGAAACATGCAAAGTTTAGTTGAAGACTTATACTTGGTTGAAGATTTTGTGCAATGAAGTAGTAAATGAAAAGCATATTTCCCACAGTTTGTTGTGAATCTTTGATGCATACCTTTTTGTGTGTAATAGTGTCACTCATTTTCTATGGTCACAGGAGAGCACAACATTATATGGTAATACATTCCACCTGGTGTCTGCCACTTTAAGCCAGTTGTTCAAGAAATCATTTGAATTGGAAAAATTGCTGTTGACATTACTACATGTTGTGGAATTATCTGGCACAGAAGATGATGTCCAGTCCATAACTGAAGGTTGTACATCTATCAATATTAGATATTTGTGCCAAGTTTGTAGATTAAAGACCAGACATAATAGTATACATATGTGTACTTGTATGCAGGATGATTTGATTTTATTGGCCTCGTTTTTGCATGCCAACTCTGACTCATTTGTGGCCACTTGAGGGCAGTCACTAGCTGCATGATTGATGAATACTTCAAAAGAAAATGTGTGCCCATACATTGTCATTTAAAGGTTGCTTCTCTTCATCAGTATGGACTTTCAAGCCCAGCAAAATCTTGATATCAACAGTTGCAAGCTTATTCAAGTACAGAACAGGGCTTGATTTTATTTGTATTTTTGTTGATTTCTCTGGCAGCTAAATGTCTGTTTCTTTCTATAGTGTGCAATGGTCTGTTTAATATATGTAATGTAATCAGCAGTGTGGATGACACTGTCTTGCTGAGAACTTGGAAGAGTTTAGTTGAACTGTCAACAAAACAAAAGCTTTTACTTCGAGATAGACTTGAGGTATGTAGTTTAACCTATATATACATGTATAGTCCCATGCATTGGCTGGGACATTAGGTCACTTGTTTGTTTGTTGATAGTTTAATTTTATTAGCTCTAGATTAATGTTATAATATGTTATAATACTGGAGTTGATGGTCATTAAGTATCACTTCACGCTATAAAACTTCACTTATCTATAATACAATCACTGGAATGAAGAAATTAATTAAAGTTGTGTTTTTTCATAACCTAGGTGTCCAACATGATTAAGATGTTATGCCAGGAGATCCTTCTCACATACGAGTATCTATTACAATTAGCATGTGAGTCAAGTAGTTCTCAAAATGCGGCTAATGATAAGATATTTGGAAGGAAATTCAAAGTATGTAGATTCTATGTGAATATGTTAATGACTCTGGTCAAAGAATTTGATGGTTACCTGGGTCCTTGCTATCAAGAAGTTTACAAGCTTATTTTATCTATGCAAAGGTGAGAGAATCAGTGCATGATAGCGCCCTCAAGTGGCAACATAAACACTTAGGATATCAATGACTAATCTTTCAGAAAGGAAATTTTTTATATTTTTTAAACATTTTGTTCATGACCTGCAGCCAATGGGAAACTATGTCTATGGAATTCAGAATTATTAAATAAATTATAGTGAAAACTTTGGGACAAAAATATAAATTTTGATTTATGTCTTGTTTGTTTCAAGATGAAATTTGAGAAAAATCACATTTTCTGTGAAATATAGAATTCCAAACATTAATTTGAATTAAAATTTATCTTTAATGATTTTCAAATGTAAAATACATAAACACTGTACATCAGCTCTCATCATAAGCCATCAAAGGGTTGTGCCTGATAGCTGACTTGATATGAAAAATATTAGTGACAAGTTGTATTTTGCTGTCACTAACAGTTCGGTGACAATCTAGATGTAATCTGTATGCCTTATCCACCATACACTAATATTGCCTACTACTGTAAAACCATTTATTTCTTTTTTTTCACTGGCAGTATGTCACCACCTAGCTTGTATGCCTCATCTACCATGCAAAGATCTAAGATGCAAGATATGAAACAATCTCTACTTGTCTTTATTGAACCATTAGTTCATATGATGCTACCTTCAAGAGGGTTTGCTGAAATCATGACAAACAAAGTCACAGGTATTTGACATATCTATTATTACTAATTTTTACCCCTTATCCTGTCAGCTTCAAGTCACTAATTTCAGTTTTAACTACTAAAACTTATTTCATCTATCTTGTCTCAAGTCATCACTCATCACTGAATTGCTAGACTTTTTAGGAGCTGCATTTTTAGAAAATAGGGAAGCCTGATCATTGGTGTATCAATCTTTGCATATGGCTTAGTTTAGTATGCTTAGTGTTATAATTACTGATATACCCCTGGTATACTTTTGTGACATCACATCAAACAAGCAAACAATATACCGTACTTCCCCGAGTATAAGCCCAGGGGCCTGAACATGTAAAATCGGAAAAAATAAGGGGTGGGCTTATACTCGAGGACCACCTCAGACAAAATTATTTTTTGGTGCGTTTAAAACTGTAACCATCTTCCAAGCTCGAAACATTATCCAAATTACATTTTTCGTTCACAGCGCCGGTCTCGGAGGAATATTTTTTGTTGTTGAGAAAACAAAAATGCGAAACGAGTCGTCATTGATTTCAACGACGCTTTTTACAATGAAGAAACAAATATGAACAAAAAACAAAAATTTTTTTACAATACGGTTCATATACCATCTGAATTTACGGTGCAAAAATGGGGAGGGTCCGTGGGAAAAACGGTCGAAGGCAAGATCGTACGGAAACTCTCGATAAAAAGCTTCTATTTCTGCCATGGTTTCATCATAATTTGACCCGAACAACTTCCTTTAACCTAACAGGTCACGTCTTTCGTTAACCAATGAAAATGCTCTTTCATACAGTCAAAGTTTTCCGATTATTGACGAAGTATTTTTTTCAATGCATTGCGGAAGTGTATTAACGCGATGTTAAAATGGGACCTGTTAACACTGTTTTCGACAAAAAACGGTGACCTTTTTACCTAAAAGTTGTTGATTCGCAATTTTCGAAAGGTAAACTGAGGGTGAGGGAAGTATTTAAACCTTTCACGGCTGCCAACAAGTCAGCCTAAGAATAGTTTGCTCGTTCACACCCCATTCACGATAGTCTCAATGGACAAGATTATTCGGAAAAGTAAAACGATGATAGTGACCAGGTTTCACGACTTGACGATCACATTTTTAGCTGTTTGTAAAACTACTACTCAAAAGAAATATGGATTATTCGAGTATTGCAACATCGGGGTTCATCCACTGCTGTTCCCAGAGATTCACTTTGATCCGAAGACAGTACACTGTCGCATTGACCTTTGCTGTGCACCAGTCGATACTCTCGCTGTACTGTCTTTGTGCATACTTTGAGGTATCCTCGTAATAACCTTATTATTATACATCTTTTCCTTCCAAGAATACATCATGGGAATGTCGAAATCCAAAATGTTTGGAACAGAATCGGCGAACTTCTTTGTGTGGAGTCCGGTCAAACCCTGGTGGCAGCCATGTTTGTTTTTATTATTAGTGGACACTTACGCGAATAATCATTCCATATTTGGAATTGGTATTCCCTAATATGGTAGGATTAAAATACCCCATAAAATATCGCAAAATTACTGTAACATATGGCGTTACGATGACAGATGTACCGTATAATAATATAATATGTCATCCACATCACAATTTTCCAAAACACCAAAAAAACGAGTCTCTTGTGAAATTATGTTTCCATATCTCCAAATTTGACTTAGTGTCATGGGAAGAAAAAGATATAGTCATATATTATTTTTATATGAATTCTGATATTGTTAATACATTTAAAATAATTTACATTTAATTGAGTTTCCACCTTGATAATTGAGAACTTCCGTTTCTGCTTTAGTATACATTTTTGTAGACTTGCTGACTGTTATGATTCAGATAAAAAATCTTGAAAAATAAATGTTAATTACGTAAACAGCGGTGAACGCACTGCCCTGAATGCAGACTGCAAAATTACCTATTTTCCTTTCAAGGCTATTTCTCGTTCACCCCTTACGCAATTGACAATTATTTTTCAAGAATTGTTATCAGAGTCATAACAGACTTCAAGAAAGTCAACTGTTAATACAATGAATAAAAATAGATTTTTGTTATTTTTTTATTACAAGTGTAGAAAAAGACCCCCTGGACGTATGCTCGGACATGACCTCAATTTCTTTATTGTATCAAAATTGGGGGTAGGCATTTGCCGGGGCATTGGCTCTTACCCAGATAAATATGGTATATACAATGGTACATTTGTATATCTCCCCCATAATGTGTTGCATTAAATGAGCAGAAATATGCTAAGTTGTGTAAAATTGTTAATTCGGTTTGAACTGCCTTAACACATTCTAGACAGTAAACATGTACCCCTTATCAATACAATCTTCTGTTTTCAGAATTGACTCCTGAGTTATGGTTTCCACACATCAACTTAATGAGTCAGATAATGACAGAGTTATCCAATCAGAAATCAGATGTCATAGATCTTTGGCTTGTACCTAGGTGCCAGTCAGAAGATGCACCAAGAGACAGTATTATTGCATGTTTTTTTCATTCTATTCCAAACTGTAAGTTATTTCTGCTTATTTATTTGACATACAATGCTTGTTTTTTGACATGTGTGTACATTTTAGCACAGTGACATTATAGATTATAAATAATTATTTCGATGTGCACATTGTTTGCAGAGATTCAACCTCTGTATTCTGAGAGTACCCAATTTCAAGGTTTGAACCTCTGTATTCTGAGAGTACCCAATTTCAAGGTTTGAACCTCTGTATTCTGAGAGTACCCAATTTCAATGCTTGAACCTCTGTATTCTGAGAGTACAAAATTTCACGGCTTGAACCTTTGGTGTCCTGAGAGCACCCAATTTCAGGGCTTGAACTATTGTACTCTAAGGGTACCGATATATCCAATTGAGTACCCTTGCCTTACCGATCCTACCAAATTATATTTTAAATGTTTGATGATATTTTTGTTTAGGTTATGTGGAACTCAGTTTACCATTGTATATGCCTGGTATAATGTGTGACGGTAAACCATACAGGGAAGTCAGTTTCTATGAACATGTCTGTGTTAAACTCTGTGGATTTATTGCTGCATTGCCTTCCTCATACTTCCATGTAGTGGAAAAATGTGTCTTTGACAATCTCGTCAATCAGAATTTATTTTGTAAGCTGTTGGCGATGGATGTTTGCTGCTTTATTTCAAGGTTTGTCATTTTTACTTCCAGTACCATGTATTAGACATTATTAATTAAACATATCATATCCATGACTTTGAAATTGTTTTTTTTTTTTTTTTTTTCAAGAACCAATCAATGCATTTCGATGAGATTTGGTACATACAGATGTAGATGCTCTGGGGCACTGTGCAGTTTTAGGTTGAAATTCATGCATATTAATTACCTCGGAGCTGAACTACTGCTCCTCCCACCGGCTGATCTGCCAAAGTTCAATTCAATTCAATCAGAGCCGAATGGAACAGTGGCAAAAAAAATAGCTGAAAACGACTTTGGTGTTTTGCTTGTGTTTTTTTTTTTTACATGGCACAATGCTATTGAGCTGGAAGAAAAAAAAGAAACAGTCACGAGTCTGAACATGGAGGTAGAAAAGAAATGAATGCACTAGTGTTATGATTTAGGTACTAGTATCTCGAATAAACAGGCATCACGGCAGCTGAAATGTGTTACAGCCTATTCGTTTTAATAAGTTATTGTCATGCAAAATTACCATTTTGTAATTGTTAATAAAAGTAACAGTTGTCAATCTAAACCTACAACAAACATGTCACCGTGCCATGACTGCTGCTACAATTTTTATCTTTGGTGTCTTTAAAAAGTTTCTTCAATTTTCATTGGATCTGTTTTGTCGCATAATTTCGTACGCCATTTTTCTGTTTCCCGTTGAGCTATCAATCTATCGCAGAATTTCTTTACTCTGGCAAATAGATATTAGTGCAGGAAATTGTGTGAAGCGAATGATGTTGTCTCCGCCCACAGTCCCTCCACAAGGGACTGTGCTCCACCATAATTCAAATGGGAGGTTACTTTAAGAAGACGAGATTGAGGGCAAGATTTGGTCTCAGATAGTTGGGTCCTGATGCGTATGCATAGTCGAGGCCATGTTGGAGCTCAACCCTATCGGAATTCAACCCCAAGGATGTAATGGAGCTGAACGCGTATACACGGCCATTTTTGCTGGCTCGAGCTGTAGAGCTCCGATAAAATGCTATCATGTGAACGTACAAAATATAGCAATAACTCGCAGTAACCAAAATTGTACAATCAAATATATTTATTACAAAAATAATGTGCTTGTTTTCTTGTCATGGTTTCAGATGGGGCAGTGATGATATCCGATTACATTATGTTAATTACTTTGCTGAACTGTTAATTAGTTTGCCTGATGTCCACACCACCATGTGTGTTGTTTTTGCAGAACTGTTGAACAGATTAATTTCTTTTCTCAGTGACCATCAACAGGTACATTACACACAGAATTACTCCATCACATCTTTCTTTAATCTGTTCCCCCCTAAACAAACACTTGAGTTCAAGTTTTGAACTGGCCAATTTTTTAAAGTACAAATCAGTGATTACAAAAACATGATATAACATACATGTTGCATGATTTGTTGTCAGAAAGTGATATTTTGGTCAAAACACAATCACTTTTACTACACATTTTATCTTTTAAAAAGGGCTAAATGAATGAATGAAATACGATAATTTTAATTATTAGAATCATACACCCTAATACAAGTCAGCAATAAAAATAAACTTAATCAGATTCACTCGTGCTACCATTATGCAGATGTAAATATTATGTAATGTGAAGTAAAATATTCAGTCCATGACTACCGGTAGTAGCCAAATTTGAAACAAGTCTGAATCAATCTTGTAATGATCCTGGTTTCAATTATCCTAATTTTTTTGTTTTTTATTGTTTGTGCTAACCTCAAGTATTTTTATATATTAATATTTTTAAAATTGCATAGTCTTATCTTATCATCCTGACCAATGGTAGAGTAGAAAAGAAGAGTGCATTATTTCGCATCAAAGCAGATGTAATTATTGTAACTTACAATACACTTGTATTTTCAGAATGACTTTCTTAGCAAGTTTTCTAGCACACAGTACCCAGCATTGTGGAGTTGTATATCACTGTCTGTGTTTAAGCAGGGAGACTGTAAACAAAATATAATCAACAGTATTATGAAAGATTGTGTAAGAGAGATACAGGCTTGGATCTCATCTCTACCAAAAACTAACTCATCTTTGGAGGAGCTGGTATGTATCTGTAATTATGGAGTGTAGCACTTTGACAACAATATATTTGTGTAAATGAGAGTTGGTGTATCATTTTTACAGTCTTATGCCCTAAAAATTAAAACTACATGTATCTGTAAGTTTTACAATTTAATTTTTTAGTTGATATATAATATTCATTTTTTTTAGTTATTTTCCCTAATCAACCACAATCACTCTAAACATCAATAACACTAATTTTATTGACATTTTCCTTATATGAAATGAAATTTGCATTTACATTCAATGATTTAGTTCATATGATAATGTTAGCCCCAGTCATATATTTTAAAGAAGTTTATCAAAATGTGGTCAGTGTATTTGTCAGACAAATGAAATACAAATTACTGTAAATACTTTTAATTATTTTTATGTTATTACTGTAGACATTTTGGCTGTTTTGTATAATGATTTTTTTTTTTGTAATTTTGGAAAATATAGGAATTTTTGATTTTAATTTCACTGATTCAATCTTTTAGCAAAAATAGTGAAAATAAAGTAATTGGTTGTAGTTGGCCAAGTAACGATAAAACATGTATAATGAATAAGTATAAATAGGTTTTCCAGTCAATCATACCAGTGTGATTCTTTCCCTTTTATAGACAGTTCATCTCAGGCTATTGTGTAATGTAATGAAACAGACTGCACCATTCAACATATCAACACAACTACAGACATCACTAAATGAGATAATAAGTACACTATGGGAAGTACTTTCATTAAGACAGATATCTTCAGATGATGTCATAAGTGTATTGATTAGATTGTCCACATACAATCTACCATATCTACAGTCTGCTCACTTAACCAAGGTAAATATATTCTCATCTTTTCAGAACCACCAAGTTTTATAGTATTTATACCACTTTTGGTCATGTGACCTGCCCATGTATTTATTATTTCTGTAACACCATACCTGACATTTTGTTTCTATGTACATGTATATTAGTCAATTTCAAAAGTTATTTGCTTATGCATATTTGTAATTACCCTCCAGTTTAGATTCATGGTTATGTTAATTAGTAAATCACACTTTATTTTTTAGCCATCAACAGACTCAAGGGGCTTATATTATGGGTTCAGTCTGACTGTGCACTCTTGTATCTCTCATATATACAGACCAACTTCATTAAAACTTGTGATATAGACAAAATAAATTATGACCAGCAGGTGATGTCAAGTATGTCTTTTTAGTCCCCGTTCGGACGAAGTCCGAAAACGGGGACTTATAATTCGGTCTCCGTTCGTGCGTCTGTGCGTCCGTCCGTCCGTCCGTCCGGAGTCATATCTCAGAATCCCTTGGACCGATTCTGTTCATTCTTTGCATGTGCCTAGTACTTTATTTGGGACATATGCACATGCAGTGGTTTAGCGATTCGATTCAGAATGGCCGACTGGCAGCCATCTTGTTTTTTGAAAATGTTGTATTTTGGACATGCTTTGTCAGTTGTCATTCAAACTTGGTACATAGATTATACATGTTAGGTTACATGTCCATGACAATTTATTTCGCAATTGCATCAAAGATGGTTGACTGGCAGGCATCTTTTTTTTTATTTTATTTTATGCGGTATCTTGGAAGTGCTCTGTCAGTTTTCATTCAAATTTGGCACATACATGTACTTTATACATGTTAGGATGCATGTCCATGACAATTTGTTTCAACATCTGGTCAAGGATGGCTGATTGACAGTCATCCGACTTTTTGGCTTTACTACTATATTTCCTCAATTTATGTACCATTTTCATTCGTATTTGGCACATACATCATACATTCAGTGTATTTCATAATCAGATCAAAGATGGCCGAATAATGGCTGTTTTTATTTTGGCCATATTACTACTACACGGAGCACGTGTTTTGATGTAAATAAACAATCTGTTGTATATGCCACTTGGAACTCAATTTTCAAGGACTCGCTCACGACAACCCCTCCGCTTTAATATGACGAGCAGAAAGAGAACTTTCAAACATTTAACGGGGACTGTGTCATTTTCAATGATTTGTTTGTCAATAATTGTGTCTTTTTGGCGGAAAATGGTCATTTTTGGTCTAAAACAATGCTATATTTCTCTGGTTTGATTATGCATGGAAAAGTTTTGTTCAAAATTAGAACAACGACAAATCATAGTAAATACATATTCTACTGACATTTGATGGTGCTCCATGCACTTTTGGGTTGTATTTTGGGGACAACATGGGCAGTTTTGGTCAGGTTATGGATGTTATGTCTTATCATGTTATGTTAATGAGTGAATTTTTGAACATAAACAATTTTGTTAAGTGTCAGGATGTTTCTATATTTATTTCTCACTTTCGTTAGGTTGTCATTAATCACCTTAGGCATGGTGTTTCAGTGTATGTGATTGACACTTTCCTTCCATCATGCATACATGTTGTATTGTTTCTATGGTAACTATGATGAATGCATGTAATCTGTATTTTTCCTTCAAAGTCTTGAACATGATAGACATGTTTACTTAATGGGACATAGAGATTTGTGGTGTGTTTAATTACCATATATAGGAACATTCTACAGAATTAAACTCTAGCAAGCTCTTGAATTTAACATAGTTTTTCAGGTTTCTGTGTAAAAGAATGCTAAGAATTTAGTTTCAAAGAAATGTTTGCTAGGAACCACACGTATGACATCTGATACTCTGCAAATGTATTATGTATTTATTTTCTGTCAGGTGAGTTGAATGTGTGTTGATACAGACCTAAAGCTGTGGGCTATACAGATGGAATATCTGTTGTATCTAGAGTAATCTAAACATATTTTATTTTACAGGTTGTGTCTGGTTTGTTGGTTCTACTTTCATTTCCTCCACCTGTATCAGTTAAATTATCCATCACTGAATTTCTGAGGCATTTCAATAAAAAGGAAGTTACACCTGGAGTTCAGGTAATATTAAGTTAATGGCTTGTAGAGTACTTGTAGTTCTGTATTTGCTCTGGACTATTAGTATTGTATACACTTTATCTGCAAATGGCAGAAGTATGTCATGGTCAAAATAAGTCGTACTTTAATGATCTGTTGTACATTAAATACAATTATGGGTTTACATAATACTTCTATTTGGAGATGCAACGCTAATGAAACAAATACAGTTACTGTTTTATTAATTATTATACTTACAGTAAAGCCAAACCAAAATACTCTGATTCTGCACATCATGTGTGTCGGTTTAAAACATTCAAGTCACAGCATATTTTGATTGTTTTTAGAATTTTATAAAAAAAATGAAAGATAAATTCAGTTTTTATGAAAAATTATAAATCAATAATAATTTTAGAATAATAATAATATTAAAAAACAAAGTGACGAGAAACATTTTTAGTTGTGTGTTCAGTAAGACCTTAAAATCTGTACTATTATAGATAGAAATAGATTGGATTGGAAAGTATTTATAGCAGTAATGTTTATCTAGTGGGTTACAGTAAATATGCAACTCCATCAATTTATGAAAGGGAAAAATTAAATAGATTAAAATCAATAAGAGAACAACTTTCAGAATGGCAGACAAAATTAACTTAGATATTAAGGTTAACCAATAACATTGAACATACTCTGCATGGCTTGAACATTGGAGTTGAGAGGACACTTACTGTCCAGGCAAAGATTTATAAAATACCCTTAGCATATACGGTAGGAATAATGTATGGAATATCAAACGCCACTAAGGCAAATTTATTAGACATCAAGTCAATTGCCTGTGAAGTTCAAGCCCAGAACTCTGATTGCATTAACATCATCATAAATTGAAGGTATTAAGGTAGAGATGCAGTTTACCTGACAGGTATTCTAATTAGTTAATTAGGAAACCAAGATGACCTCCCTTGTTCACAAAACTATTAATTTTCGGAAAGCTTATTGTATGAATTTTAAAATTTTTTTAGCATTTTTTTTTATGGACACTGTAGTTTGAAATATGCTAAAAAATGTGCTTTTTTGGTCAAAAGTGATTTAAAAAAAATAGCTCCTAAACTATGCTTCTGTTTCCTGTCAAAATTGGTTTATGGGTATGTTTATTTACTATGAAGAAAGTGCCATCTTGAAAACTATCTACCAGTTGTTAATTTTGCAGGGCAGCAGCCCAAATTTCACTACTTCAAGTTTATGCATAAATTAACACCCAGTCTAGTTGTCTGTACGATTATTGTAACACTGTTTAACCAAAAACAATGCCCCAACAGCGTTTTGAAGATAAACACATTGTCAATCATTTGTGAAAATTTCAAAACAAAAGGTCAAAGTGTCTAGGAGCTATTTTTTTTTAAAGTTCTGGGATGTGCACTAAAAAGAAGCTGAGATAATTGCTAATTTGCATAACAATTCACTCAGTAAGAAGTTTGCTAATGCTCATAATTAAAATGGCTGTAACAGTTCCAAATTTAAATGTATTATCGTTTTGTTAAAAGTTAAATATAGTGCATAATATGGAGATTTCTTTTTTTCACCATGTTTCTTTTTTATTATTTATGTACAGCCTTGCTAAATCTTGCTAAGCATACAAAAGAGAGAATGTTTGCACCTGTTATCTATATTTTAAAATCGTTGTTTGAGTATGTTCCACTATTCACAATTCTACAAAATGTTAACAGTCTATAGCCAACAATGTTTGGATAATAAAAAGCAAAAAAAAAAAGTGGTCACGAACCTGCATCTCTACCTTAATTGAGTATTAGTTTTTGAGAATGTAACGAATATTAAGATCTGTTTTTTGATTGCAGCAAAGACAGATTTTGACAGATTTACCTCAGTTATTTTCTGATATGCTGAATGATACAAATGTAGTTGTACATCAAAGAGCTTTAGAAGCATTCAGTATATTTGCTGAGGTGAGTATGTAATGTTATGATGTGTATATTAACAGCCACAACTCTATTTGTATAGGACAATGGGCTAATGACTTGTGGATATTGCATCTCATACACATATGTATCATAGTGAACTACCGGGTACATGTGTATTCCATCACAAATTATCTTTTTAGCTCTTGTAAAGTGACAATGCAGCCACACAGTGGTTGACAAAGGATATTGAATGAAAACTGTCAACTATTGAAAGTAAGCATCACACTTAGAACAACGGACATGAGTTAAGGAGTTGTAGAACTGCATGTATATGTTATCTCTCCTGAAATTGTGAGCTTGCCTGACTTATTGGGGGGAGGGTCTGGATCTGGTAGATATTTTCAAAATGATTTGGTCCAATTTATTATTCATTGTTAGCAAAGCTCATCTCTAACTGTAAAACTCATTTGTTGAGAATGAAAATGAACTGTTTCTCTTTCACATTGTTCCACTATAAACCTATAATTCTTGATTCTAAGTGTTTATCTAACTGGAAAATACTCATCAATGTTCAAATACACTGGACTAGTCAATTATTTAATGTATTTGTATCTTTAACAGGAGACTGTGTATGAGCAGATAGTTCCTCAATGCTTACAGAAAGGAAATATACAAGACATCGTAGTCAATTTTCTAAATAAGGTAGAATATACTCATTACAAGTGATCTTCTACGACAATATTTAAATCAAATTGGATCAAGGTAAAATTGCAGCCCTTATTGAGTTAACAATCATAAATAATCATAAAGTCATCACACATCACATTACTTTAACATATATTTATTCCATTACTATTAGTTTTGAAATTATTACTTCCTCGTGTCAGAGCAGTATTATTTTGCGTGTCTGCTGGAACATTTTCTAAAGGTACTGATTCTGTCGCCGGGGTTTTCAGTCCATCGCTGATACTTTGAGCATCATGTACCGAATCAGGGTTTCCATGGCGCCCATTCCGTGAGGCTTGAAATGAGTTGCGTATATTGCAAGACATTGCTTAATTGTGGGACCCCTCTAGGGAATGAATTACTACGTTGATAGCGCCACCATACGGTCAATATGGGAAAGCCGTTTGGATGCAATTTATTTTCTGTGCCAAATGTGGCCCGATTTAATTGAAATATTGCGCAAATGGCGCAAGGGTGCAGCCTGGTGAGAACACTGGCATTGCAGCAAGATGAAAAAAAAGAACTTGTTTCTGGTCATACTCTTCATGTAGTTCAACCCTACTGTATTTACTTCAATAGATTCCATTCGCTGATGATGATAGTCTACCAACAAATGTAGAAGTATTGAAAAATCAACAGACGGCTGTTGAGTATTTACAAAGGGATAAATGTGATGACGGGGAAAAAGCATCCGTTGTCGGAACTAGAGAATTGATTGAGGTAATATTCAAATATATTTTGTTGTCATTCTCTTCATATTTTGCTATGTGTACTGAGCCAAATTTACCTTAAAGCGTTGCTCCACACAGTTGTTTACTTGGTACATAGCTGTTATCATTTCAAACGAAGGTGTTAATTCCGTAAGCTAACTTCATGCATTACGCTATTATCCGATTTGAAAGGACCCATTGAATAGCAATGTTCAATTCTCATGGGGCCTATGGAATCTTTAGAAAGCATTTTTCATGGGGCTCCTTAGTTAGTTCTGTGCTTGCACGAAACAGCGCATCGTCATAAATAATTGTGGTTTATTTTAATGACCTACACAATGTAGTTGAAGCACAGTACAACATGAAAAAAAGTGCCGAAAAAAAAATCGTTATATGGCTATGTGGCACAGGATACCCAGTTACCCAACGAACAATATACACAAATATGTATGCCACTCAAGCGTTACAAAAAAGGCCTTGAACACAGACAATGTTGTCGTTCACCAATAATTCACTGCAGGGATATAATTTCAGGGTACATTTGTGGGATATTTCAATTTATTTATTTCAAAATACATTTGTACTTTGTCGGGAATGTTGTATATTAAATTTGAGAAATAGTACCAGTACCCACAGCTTGGTTCGTCTTTTTATCGACAATGGGGTCAAAACCATCTTTTTCCCTTCTCATAACTGACCTAGTTCACCTCTGTTGCCGCTGGAAAAAAAGAATCGAGCAAGTTTACAAGCCCTGATACCACGAATGTCTTTCTTTACGCAAATTCACTAAGGAAGTTAATGGAATTTTTACGCACAATCCTTTCCCTCTTGTGCACAATCCAGCTCATGCCATCTGCAGTCGCTCGGGCCGGACCACTTCATGGAGCGCAGCGCGGCCCCTGAAGTGGCCAGACAAACAGCTCACATCATATCATTTCCAATTAGCTCTATGATATCACTTACATCATCAACTCCATAATTACATAAACATACCTAGAGATTGAACAAACAACTCAAGGATGTGTTATCAGTAGCTATCTGACACACAATGAGTGTTTCCAAACATTTGAGTGGTTTGTCTCTGCCCCTGTTTGTTTCACAGATTAGTCATTTGCATATGAATGTGTCGGACACAAGTCACACAGCCACTGAAAAAAATCATTGATTTTGGTGTTTTCATATGCCGAATTTATCCAATTATAGCTATCCCATTCCTTTATTTTTTGGTT